AAATCTATTTCGAAAAAAATATTTTTGGAATTTTTGTGCTCCATTTAAGAATAATTTTTATTCAGTATAAAAATAAATTAAAACCTTCTTAAGGCCAAGTGGCAGTAAGCGCATTAAAAATAAAAAAGAGTACGGGCCAAGTAATGACGTATAAGGGTGTCTAAGGCTTAACCTCGCCAAATTTGTCATCAATTGTCATTCCCCAGCCGTCTTTGACGCCGTTTTTTTCGATCGTATTGTACTTTCTTGTTCATGAACACAAGGCGTCGAATAAGCTGAGAGCAGGCTGTGATTGTCGCTAGATGCTGTCAGTTCTTAAAATGTCAGCATTTAAAAAAATAACTTGGATATCTTCAATTCGTTTTGAAATACTTGCGTCCATTTAAGAAACATTTTGTGTAGGTGTGCTCAATATAAAAAATAAAAATTATTTAATTTATTTTCTTATTGTAATTGTAGCTGCCTTTTATAGAGAAAATTTGTTGAGCTCCAATGTCGACGTTCATTCCAGAAACCTCAGTCAGTACATGGAAGAAGAAGAGTCAGCGCAGAAGAAAATATTCGATATTTTATCTGGATTATGGGATATGTCAAAATGTAAATATTGTACTCATTATAATTATTAAGTAATATCACATAGGTATATAATTATTAAGTAATATATCATATAAATAGAGAGGGTGAATCACATTTCCTAAGAGACTACATACGCTTACATTTCCTATTAGAGATTTTTAGGAAAGATATAGATATATTTATTAAGGTTAGGATTTTTAGGACTTTTAGGAAAATATTTATACTAAAATTTATGTAGGGGTGGGGATAGTTTTCACCCTTTCTGTACTTTTTTTTGATTTTGTAACAGTCAAGTGTTAAAGCAAAATATTGACACCCAAAATCTCATTCGAATCGGAATAATGGTTCTTAAAATATCTGGAAAAATATGATTATTTTTTTGTCTGATGCCCTCTAACGGATAAACGAAGCACTTTTGTATAGAGGTAAATTGTGTCCAATGAACTTATTTTGATTCCAAAAATACGTAGTAGTTCTATGTACACGGAATATTGGGACACCCTGTGTAAACTTGCGTTACCATTATTCCCACATTTTGCAAAATAGATTAGTGTAAAAATGCCAAATAAGGAAGCTGGTCTGGGGCAGTGGGTCACCCTGTATATGGTAGAGTATAAATCTAATTTTATATTCTTTTGTTTCAGATGTAATTCTCTTCTTGAATATTTTATCTATACTTATAAAATTTATGATGTAATAAGGCGAATAACATTAATTAATGTAATTAACATAAAGTAATAAACAATTATACAGTGTGAAGATTTTTTTTATTTTGGTACTTCTCATATTGTTTAATTATTGAGAACATATAGATATACAGGGTGGTCCGAACTAAATTCCGGAAACTTTGGCAATATATTCTGCAGATAAAAATAAGTAAAAAAGTTCGTATAAATGTATGTCCTAAAATGCTTAGTTTCGGAGATACAAGATGTAGAAATTTCCATTTTATTTCGATTTTTTCCAAATTATTTATGAAGTAACGTCAATATTTAGATGAAAATTAGTGCCTGAGGGTTTTGTGACACGAGAAATTTGATTTTAATGGCAAAATGACTCCTATTTGTAGAGGGCGCCACCTACATGTGTTGTAATTGTTATAAAGAGCTATAACTTTTCGTCCGTACCTGTATAAAACTACTGACTGAAAAAATATACATTTCCATGACTTTCTACGTAAAAAATGTCTCTTGGTAAAAATCGATACGAGCAACCATTCTCAAGATATTTAAAATGGAAATAGTCAATACATGTCATTATTGACAAAAAATAAGCACACGTTGAGTATAGTTATTTGACTGAAATAATACATTTTTATTTTTTTAAATTTATCATATTTTTTTGGCGAAAAAAATGATGACATGATAAAAATGATAAACAGTTTCTGTTAAACTTTTGGTACAAAAAGTTTCAAATTTATGATTTCAGTCTAATAACTATTTAGTCAACATATTTAATTTATGTCAATGATGACAGGTATTGATATATTTGATTCCAAATATCTCGAGAACCATTAGTCGTAGCGATTTTTACCAAGAGACTTTTTTATGTAAAAGAAGTCGTAAATGTATATTTTTTTACTCAGTAGTTTTATACAGGTATGGACAAAAAGTTATTACTTTTCAAACCAATTTTAAAATATGTAGGTGGCGCCCTCTACAAGTAGGAGTCATATTGACATCAAAATCAAATTTCTCATGTCAAAAAACTCCCAGACACCAATTTCCATCCAAATATTGACGTTACTTCATAAAATATTTGGAAAAAATTGAAAAAAATGAAACTTCTACACGCTGTATCTCCGAAACTAAGCATTTTAGAACATACATTTATTAGAACTTTTTTACTTATTTTAATCTAAGGAATATGCTACCGAAATTTCCGGAATATAGTTCGGACCGATACAGTATACAGTATACGGACATTCAAACTTGTCCCAATGAACTATAACATCTATTAATAATTATTATTGGTTAGTTTTAAACTCACTTGAGTTTAAAACTATACAAGCGTAGTACTTCCGAGATCCTGTAGTTACTACTAAGTTATTGTATTAACTATATACACACAGCATCTAATAAGAAATGCAAAAACATGCAAATTTATTAATCGATTTTTATAATAAAATGCAACTCGTTAAAGATTATAGATATAGGTACCTATTACCTATAATCATAGAATTAAAAATTCCTATAATCTTGCGCTGATAAATCACAGATTAAGTAATATGGGTAATATTTATTTTCGCTGTATTTATTTAATCTTATTGTATTCTTGGCATGTTTTATCAACATTATTGAAATTTATCCTGTATTATATAAATAAGTTTAATTGTGATTAAAATAAAACAATAAATAATTAGTCAATATTTAAATGGAGACAAAGTTTTTTTACACAAAAAGATTTTACTACTACTTTTATTTTATCTCATACAGGGTGTAACGAAAAAATTCAAGAGTTGATTGTTTTTTTACAAATAAGGTGTCTTTTTCATGTAAAATTTTTGTTTTTTTCTTGTTTTTTTACAAAATTATTTGCTTATAATTTATTATGTTTTCGACAAAAATTAAAAATGTTTCACAAATTGTTAAACCTAGTTATAGGACATGACATATTGTGCATAAAGAAATAGCATAAAAAAGCATATTATGTTAAAACACGAAATTCATAATTGAAAACGTAGAATTTGTTCATATCGAATAAACTTTTAGTCATGTGATTAAGCTTGACCGGCATGTCACAACGTTGCCCACTTTTACATATTTTTTTTAATCAAAATATTTTACGAAACAAAAATAAATTAATTATAAATATATAAACAGTTATTATTTACATCAACAAAACTCACCTTCTTAACACCACTTAAGGGATATAAAGGGCCATTAATACCGCTTTCCTGTTCAAAGTATTCTAATAAAGTTGCGATGTGTTTTTTACGGCTGTTAAGCTATCTTATTATTATATATTTCGCACTACTTACATTTCAGTTCTACAAAGCAATGTTCGACTGCAAGGTCTGATAGTAAAAATGTTTAAGCTTAAAGTATCACAACACAATTAAAAACTCGTAATACAAAACTAAGTGTCAAAACGAATGACAATGTCAGGAAATAAATAAATAAATGTGGTAATTTGACATTTTTTACAGCAGAGCTACCACCGAATCCCCAGCGCGAAATTTAAATACCAGTAGTCAGCCCGTTGCCGATTAATGTCCATGGTTGGCAACAATCCATTTGAAAATCGCGCCCTTGATTACGTAACTAAAAGTTTAATTGATATCAAATATACTTTTTTATTTTTTCAGACAAAAAATCGATATTTGGTATGTTAGTATATGACATAAATTAGGATTGACTGACGTATTCAATTGTTTTTGGTCACTTCCTGTTTCACAGGAAATGACTACAACTTTTGATTTTAAAATTACACGCTCGGTATTTTTTTTTACTTTATTCGATAAAAAATAACACGCTGAATAGAATGGCATATCATATGTCAACTTTTGACATTTTCGCTTAAAACAAAATCGAATTTTAAATCAATCTAGAGTGCCGTAGCTGTGTTAAAAACAAAAACATTTATTTTTAATCAAGGAGCCTTGGAAAAATAGATTTGATCCTCTAATGGTTTTAGTGTCTTGTCCTGGTCGGTTAAAATATGCCCAAATCGTATTTTTAATCACATATCAATTTTTTCAAATGGAACGAGGGTGGCTCATTAGCATATTTGGAAAAAGCATTTTTTTACGAATAATTTGATACCACACACATAATATTTCGAGTCAAATTGTCGTCATGAATCGCATGTTGCAATTTCAAATAAACCATATTCGAGAATGTCAAAAGTTGACATATGATATGTCATTCTTTTCAGAGTGTCGTTTTCAATCGAATAAAGTAAAAAAAAATACCGAGCGAGCAATTTTAAAATCAAAAGTTGTAGTCATTTCCGGTGGAACAGGAAGTGACCAAAAACAATTGAATGCGTCAACCAATCAAACAAATTTATGTCATATACTAATATACTAAATCTCGATTTTTTATTTGAAAAATTAAAAAGTTATAGGGGTGAGCCACTTTTCAGACGCACCCGGTATATTAATCACACAGCGCGGATCATTATGGATGATATCTTTCAAATAAACACAACTTAATACAGATTTGATACCTTTAAAACAATATAAAAATACAAAACAAAAAAAATCATTTATTGACAATTATTGAAACGAAAAGAGAAATAAATAAAAAATGAAAAATAAAAAATTAAGAATTAAGGGGAATAGTGTTTTACAACCAAGTCTTAAAGAAAGACAGATATATCTATGATAATTCCCCTTTTTTAAGTATACAAAAGGGACCTAAAAAAAGGTATAATTCTTTTCGGAGAGAACACACTCCGTTTCTGTATGGTTTATCGATAAAATAGACAAAGATAGACATACTCTCAGCTTGGTTTGCGTTGAAAATATCACATGTGCTCACATCGCTGAACTGTAACCATTCATTTCAGTCCAACGGCGTGTAGTATTCTGTCTGGTATACATATGTATCCAAGTAGTAAAATATCGTTAAAAGTTTTATAGCTGTATTCTAATATGTAAACAGTTTTTATTTTACATTATTCTGCGACTAAATAGTGCTGCTAATAATCTGCGACTAAATAGTGCTCACAACAAACTTGCACAGATAGCTTTAGTAAGGAATATACCGGTCAGTTGTTTGCTGTATTTCAGTTTTTAACAAATTAACTCAAATATATTAAAGGTAAGTGTTAAAATTACTGTTATTTCTAATTAATTAATGATTGTAATGTTTATAATTTAGATAAAAGAAAAAGTGTTTTTCATACATTTTTGTAGTAAAAATTCATTTTCTAAAGTTTTATGTTATAAAATAAGTGAAATATCATAAAAGTGTATGGATTAATAATTTTTATCAAAAAAACATAATGCAAATAAAGTAGATTAATTTTTGAAGCTTTTGTTAGTGTGAATTGGGCTTTAAAACTAACTTAACACATATATCTGGTGAATCTCAAAAGTTTTTGGTTTTGTTTAGATAATCTATGATAAGATTTTTATTTAAACTGTCTATTTAATAAGAATTATACAGGATGTTTTTTAAGTAATTTTTAAAATACTTTCACTCAAAATATAGATAAAAAAGTAAATAAGACAAAAATAAAATTTTAGTAATAAAATAAGAACAAAAATTATATCAAAAACAATATTTAATATATGTTATTATTTCTTAAAACTATATAATAATAAATAATTGGGATTTAATATTAGTTTTTAAATGTTTTAATTTAATCATTCGATATTTACAATAATATTGCAAGACAAAATATTTATAATTAATATGATATTGTTTTTGTTTAGAAAATATGTTTTTAACTGTGTTTTTAAAAATGTTTATTAATGATAGTCTACCGGGTGCGTCTCAAAAGTGGCTCATAACTTTTTTATTTTTTCAGATCAAAAAACGAGATTTGGTATGTTAGTATATGACATAAATTGGGATTGATTGACGTATTCAATTGTTTTTAGTCACTTCCTGTTTCACCGGAAATGACCACAACTTTTGATTTTTAAATGATACCTTGGTATTTTTTTACTTTATTCGATAGAAAATGGCACTCTGAATAGAATGACATTTCCTCATATGGTTTATTTGAGATTGTAACATGCGGTTCATAACGATAATTTGACATGAAATACCAAGTGTATGGTATCAAATGATTCGTAAAAAAATATTTTTTCCAAATATGCTAATGAGCCACCCTCGTTCCATTTGAAAAAATTGAGATATGATTAAAAATACGATTTGTGCATCTTTTAATGGACCAGGAGAGAACATGAAAAACATCGGACAATCAAATATATTTTTCCAAGGCTCCTTGAATAAAAATTAGTGTTTTTAACACAACCATGGCACTCTAGATTGAAATTTAAAATACGATATTTTTTAAAGCGAAAATGTCAGAAATTGACATATGATATGTCATTCTATTCAGAGTGTCATTTTCTATCGAATAAAGTAAAATAATACCGAGGGTGCCGTTTACAAATCAAAATTTGTAGTCATTTCCGGTAAAACAGGAAGTGACTAATAACAAATGTCAATCAATTCCAATTTACGTCATACTAACATACCAAATCCCGTTTTTTTATCTGAGAAAATAAAAAAGTTATAGGGGTGAGCCACTTTTCAGACGCACCCGGTATAGACTTTATAATTTTCTGCCATATTTAACAGATAGTTTCGAAAAACATGTACCATCTCTTCATGTAAAAATAAGATTTATTTCTCAAATGTTTCGTACGTACAGGAGTTTAATTGACAAAACTATATTTAGTTTGATTGGAAAAATGATGTATATTAATAGGTTTAAATAACAGACATTTAATGAAATACCAAATAAATAATAATTAGACATAAATTGCCAAATTATTTTTCGTATGTTTTTATCCATATTATTTTACTCGTATATAATAATGAAATACTCTAGTATTTTCTGGCGATACCGGGTGTTTTTCAAAGGCGTTTCAAGTTTCAAATTTTTTTATTTGTTCAGATAGAAACAAGAATATTTGGTATTTCTGTATATGACATAAATCTGGATTAATTGATGTATTCAATTAGTTGGTCACTTGCTGTTTCACCGAAAATGACTACAACTTTTGATTTTTAAATTATACTTTGTTATATTTTTTATACCCTTGTTATATTTTTTTGACAGAAAATGACGATATATCATAAATATGTCAGCTTTTGACATCTTCTTTTAAAAAAATGTATTATTAAAATTAAATATAAGTGCCATGCACACTTGGAAACATGGGCACAGTTGGAAAAACATTTTTGACGAATAGTTTGACATGTAAGATGTCAACTATTCAGTGTCATTTTCTATCGAATAAAGTAAAAAAAAATATGAGGGTACCATTTAAAAATCAAAATTAGTAATTTCCGGTGAAACAGGAAGTGACCGAAAATAATTGAACGACATATGTCATATACTAACATACCAACTCTCTTTTTTCTGTTTGGAACTTTGAATAAGAAGACTAAGGAAGGAGCATAATGCTATCCATGTATTCATGCATGGTGGGCGGAAAAAGCTCTCTAGGGTGGGGATCCTTGACAGTTCTGTTTGACGATTCATTTGACAGATTTGAATTTGATTTGAAATTTTGTGGATTTGTGAGTCTTTAGGAGCTTATTTTATGTTATTTATTATTTATTCGACTACTGATAGTTGTATAAAGGTAGTAAATCTAGATGGAAATTGTGGCAGAACTTAAATTAACAGTGACATTATCGCGATTTATCGAAAAACACTCTAAAATAGTTGGTTGTGTAGCGTGCGGTAGATCTCGGAAAAAATTGAGTGAAATAATGGAACAACTTTTCGCTAGTAAGTGACTATATAATATACATACATGTAGTAAACCGATCATTTATGAAATTCACTTAAATTAACTAAATTATATATTTTCTTGCATTTTAGCTTTTATTCACTACTTGTCAAAGATCAGATGTCAAAGAATTTTGATACGTTAATTTGACTTACCTGCTTCAGTAGCGTATCGGATGTTTGTGTTAATAAATACTTATTTAACTTATCTATTTTTATTAGAATTATATATTTTATAACAATTTTAATAACTACCAACATTTATTCACAACGTAAAATAAAATAACAAATTATTGAGTCTACCCCACGTCTACCCTACATCATAGTTTTACATTTTTTAAATAAAATTAGAACGGCACTGATAAACCGGAATTTAAGTCGGCCATATTTGAGGCCCATCGCGGTGTACCTAAGATTTTTGATATGCTCCTTCCTTAGTCTTCTTATTCAAAGGTTTGGAACAAAGGTTTGGAAGGAAAAAAAGTTATAAGGGTGAGCAACTTTTGAAAAACACCCGGTATTGGAAAATAACTTAATAACATTTTTTTCGAAAAATAAAAACATTACATATCTCCTGTTAACAATTAAAAATAATTAGCACGAATAAGTATAATTTCTATTTTCTATATAGGTTTGGTTCAGTTTTTTTGCACAATTAGACACTTAAATTAATTGTATTGTATTAAAGTGTCTGTAATAAAATATTTGCATTGTAATAGAAAATATTTGATATTGTTTTCAAATTAGTTCGATTATAGTACTACATTAAGTTTTATAAGGTGAGTTGCAAATAAGTGCAAATATTTTCACAGGGCTGGTACCGTATGATCGAATAAAAACGGCGTCAGCGATGGCTATGAAATGACGATCGATGACATTTCCCATATAATTTTACATATAAAATGACAGCGATCTTCATTTCATAGCCATCGCTGACGCCGTTTTTATTCGATCATACGGTAGATCTCGATAAAAGAAACATATTTTCTCTTTACCGTTTTTCAAATAAGTCCAAAATAACGGAGTTATTTTATTTTGAAGATTAAAAAAAATTATTTTTTGCTTTTTTTGTTTTTTGGAGAACCGCTGGATTTTTTTCTGAATTTTTTAAATTTAATCTACCATCTATGTTGTCATATTATCAAAATATAATGCTCTTTTACTAAAAATTAAGAAAACAATAATTATTCCAACTTTTTTCTAAAGTACTAAATTTTAGATTTTTTGGGCGGAAAAAAACCATAGACGTGTTTCTGGAGTCAAAATATACCACCCTTAGAAATATTTGCAATTATTTAAGACTCACCCTGTAGGTATATTAGATATTTTAAAATTTAGTCTACAAAACAAAAAGTATAGATGGCCACAAATCTCTAGAATGGTTGAAAAATTCACCAGAGCAGAGATGCAAAAAGAAACATCGTCTATTGTGTGTTCCCCTTTCTTGTTATAACGAGTTATAACTCAAGAAAGATACCTAATAGACCTATGGAAGATCGCGGTGATTAACTCCCCTCCTAACCATTCTACATTCTACATTCTAGGTGATTGCACCATATCGATATTATATATTATATCGATATTTGATGTGGATGTATCAATGCGATATCTCGATATATCGATGTTTCTTTTTGCATCTCTGCTCTGGTGAATTTTTCAACCATTCTAGAGACTTTAAACCATCTACTTTTGTTTAATGCGGGGCTAAATACACAAATATCTAACTACCTGCAGAGTGAGTCTAAAGCAATTCTATAATTTTCTTTTACTTTCTGGCGAATGCGCCAGGGTTCCTCAATGCACTTTGCGATTTTAGCAGTATGCAGTTATGCAACCAGTAATACACCTTGACATTGCCCTCCCCCTTTCTCAAATTTGATCGTCCCGATCAAGGTTTCCTGTCTGGTATCTCTTCTTCAATCGATCCAGATGAACTACTTTCATCTTACTTCTAGGGCTGCGTTGAATCCGGTACACAACATCATTTATCCTCTTGATGACTGTATAAGGACCTTCCCATGCTGGAGTTAACTTTGGGGACCTTCCTTTCTTGCGCTGTGGGTTATACAACCATACTCTATCGTCCTGTTGAAATCCCGTAGAATTAGCTCTGAGGTCGTAACGAGCTTTCATCCGGTCACTGGCTAGCGTAATCTTACTTCTAACGGTCTTATGAATTTCCATTAACCTTTCCTTCAGTTCATCCGCGTAGTCCTCTACGTTTGTGGTGCCGTCGTCTGGTGATTATATTCTTAATTTTCCCTAAAGATCCAGGTGCTTGGTCCTTAATAATATGTTTAACATACATTGTCGACATTTTTTGAAATCTTAAAAAAATCCACCC